AAAAAAAAAGATAATAATATTAACTTGCAATTAAGATACCTTATTAATCTCCCTAAAGAAGTCTCTAATACAGGTTTTATGTTCAAATTTGTAGTTATTGGAACAGAAATAGAGAAGTATATAGAAAAAAAGTGAAAGGTATTTTAAAAACAGATCAGCATAATCTACTTAATCAAAAATCTTTATATTTTTCATTGTTTTGAAAGGTACCATTGAACCATCAGTTGACACAACAACCAGAGCCTCAAAGAATGAAGCGACATCACCTGAAGGGCATTCAGGTAAGTAGAGAATGATTTCAGAGGTTCTGACTTTTGTCCTACTTTGAAACAAAATAATTGAGATGAATCTAAAAAGAACTAGTTGACCCAACTCAAGACAAAGAAAGAAGTCTTTGTAAAAAAAATGCAATTACTAATTTAAAACATTTAATAAAACATTAAAGCACAAAATCATAAGGACTTCTGGGTACTATGTTGCTGGATGCCTTTATTGAAATTTTAACTCTTAGGTATGAATGGCCAGTTAATTACCTATTGGGAATAAAGTCCAAGTAGACTGTAGATGAGAAATTCCTTTGTTGTTTTTCTCAGCTTCTACTGGTACTTCAGTTTCCATCACCTCCACAGCTAGAACTACAGGCACCACACCAGGACTGAGCTCCAGTTTCACCAGTCTTGGGGTCACATCAGGTAAACCCATTTTGAGCAATTATGTTGGCCTCAGCCAAAGAAACTGGTTTCAGGCAATGCTGCTCAGACAATATTTTTCCAAATCGAGTACCAGACTTAGGTGATTGTTCTTCATGTATAATTAAAATTTAATATTAGCCTTTCAACATGTTGCTTCCTTAAATGATATCATATTACAGTTACATGTTCCCACTCTCTGATAGTTGGCAACCCCCATGCAGTTTTTTAGCTAGATGTTTCAATTTTATAAACCTTCATCAAGGACAGGCAGAGTGCTACCAGATATAAATTTAAGACCCCGTAGGGGATGTACAAGTGACAGAGCTTCTGAGCAGGTGAAACAAAGATATAAGGAAAATCTGATATTTATACAACTGATGTTTTGCCTCAGCAATAACGCTCCTCTGAGTAGAGCCTTAGATAAATTGCCCAATTAAGAATTATTCCTCTCAATTCTATGACTTTGGGAAAAATTTAACAGTTAGTATTTGCAGTTATATAAAACATTAATGACATTGTTCTATGGCCCATTAAATTGTCTGACTTATGCTCAAGTGTATTGTTTGTAATATAGTCAACCTTTACACCATTATATGTCAGTATTCCCATGAGATAAGAAAATAATAAAAAATTCCAAGCTGGAAATTCTGGTTTAGAACCTGTACTGAAAAGCCTCATTTTGCATTGGCTAGCCCCTCAGTTCTATAACCTCTGCATAAGAGCTCATATCCAACAAAAACTCAAGAGATAAGCTTGTGCTTGTGCATTATTCATTAAATTCAGTCAGTGTTAGGACCAGGAATACAATATCATTGATAATATTAAATACTGATGATTTACATTGGAAGTAAGCATGACTAAAAATTTACAATGGTCCCACATACCATCAGTTACAGATTTTAAAGACCTCTGAAGTGTCCTCTTGCATTCAGCTGTTAAACCTTTTCCCCCAGTCCCTGCAGTCCTCTGCCTTGCTTACCTTCCTCCTCTAACACCATGGTGCTTACAGTGTGGTTCCTGGACCAGCAGAATCGAAATCCTGTGAGATCTTGTTAGAAGGGCACATTTCTGGGTCTACCTGACTATCATCAGCAAGTGCTGGGGTGGAGCCCAGCAGACTATGTTAGTAAGCTTTTTAGGGAATCGATGCTCAAGGTGGAAAAGCACTTCTCCACAATTCCCACTCTTTTTCCATCACCTACTCAGTTTACATTTCAACAATGTTAAGCCAGAATGACTTTCCCAAAGTTCAACTCTCATCCTGTGTCTGTACTATTTAAAGTAATTAAATACTGATGATTGCTTTTTTTAATTTAAAATTTTTAATTGGGGGGTTCCTTTTTAGTTATATATGACAATAGAAGTACTTTGAATTAGACAAAGGGGAATAAAGAGAAGGAAGGGGGATTGGAAACAGGAAAGCTAATAGAATGAATCATATGTTACTTCTTATATGCATGTATGAATACGTAACCAATGTAATTCCACAACAATCAGAAGAATGGGAAGTTGTACTCCATATATGTATAAGATGTCAATACATTCCACTATCATATGTAACTAAGAACAAATAAAAATAATTTATTTTGACATAATTATAAAAGCATGGAATATAATTTGTTCTAATCCAGTCTCTAGTACTTCCCCTTACTTTCCCTTCTTACCATCCCTGCCCTGTTCCCTTCGCTCTACTCTACTGATCTTTCTCCTGTTTACTTAGTTATTTTTTAAATTAGTGTCTTAGATAAAAACTTCATATAGCATTGAGACATTTGTTTCATGTGTGCGTAGGACTTCTTCTGAATGTATTAATGAATGTATTGCATGATTGTTTCTTCTACAATATTCTTGATAAGCTATTGTTTTTATTTAAAATTCATGACACATTGTTTTGAATAAGCTGTTGTTTACATGGAAATTACTAGGCTAAATCATATAGTTTACACATAGCAGGAACAGAAAGAAACTTGGTAATTCCCATTGGGTCAGTAAACTTATTGAAATTTAAAGTGTTGGCCATTTTGTTTATATTCAGAAAATCTGACTCAAAATTACTTGGGTAATAAGGACATCTCATTCAGTGATCTTTTTTTTGCTATCAAAAAGTAAATAAGGTGTTTGAAATAGATTTTGGTGCCCAGATGTGTGGCTCCCAGATTGTTTATTATTGTGTGTGATGTGATAAGAAGTGAAACAAGAGAGTAAGCATTTGGAACATAGTGGGGTTTTTTTGTTTGTTTAAGAGAAGAAAGAGAATTTTTAAATATTTTTCAGTTTTCGTTGGACATAACATCTTTATTTTATGTGGTGCTGAGGATGAAACCCAGTGCCCCTCGCATGCCAGGCGAGCACGTTATCACTTGAGCCACATTCCCAACCCCAAGATATTTTTAAAGAAGAGAATAGCTGACTTATTCTACTTTACCACAGATCATAACATATATTTACCGTTTCCTTTGACAGGTACTACTGGACCTTCAGTGGATAAAACAACCAGAACCCCCAGCAGTGAAGTGACATCACCTGAAGGGCACTCAGGTGAGTATAGGGTGATGTTCAAGGGTCCCAGCTTCTGTCAGAGGGTGAGCCATTTATCAGAACTGCACTTATTTTAAAGCAAAGTAGTTGATACAAATGTATGAAGACCTGCTGTGGCACAAGGTGAAGAAAGATGTATTTGTAGAGCAATTATCTAATGACTAAACTAAGATCTTTAAGAAAATAATATTAGAACAAATGTTAGTGACGTCTGGGCAGAAAGTCATGAATTCCTCTATTCTATTCCCGATAGCAGGAGTGAGTGGACAGTTAGATTTCTCATTGATAATAAAGTCCAGGTAGACTGTAGGTGAGAAGTTCCTTTGTTTTTTCTCAGGCTCTACTGGAACTTCAGTTCCCATCACCTCCACAGCTGGAAGTGCAGGAACCACAGCCCAATCGAGCCCCAGCTTTACCAGTCCTGGGGACACATCAGGTAAGCCCAGTTCAGAGCCAAGAATACTGCTCTAGCAGAGCAATATTCTTTCAGGCAATGCTGCTTATTTCTTGTATGTAATTAAAATGTAAAATCTTTAGCCTTCTTACAAGTTACTTTCTTAATGAATCTTGTTATAATTATATGTTCCCACTTCCTTCATAATTGTTAGTATACATGCATGGTTTTTACTGGGTCCTCTTTTCTTTTTTTTTAACCTTTATCAGAGACAGCTGGAGTGTCACCAGGTGGGACTGCCACAACTAACAATGGGAATACAAGTGAGGCAGCCTTCCGAGATGGTAAGGCAAAGCATGCAGTCTGAGTTTCTCTCTTCCTCAGAATATTTCCATAAGCAATCTTCTGTTTCAGCTCTGCAGTACATTTACCCTGACTATAACCTGAGAGAACAGAATGTCAGTTATCTAAGCCAACTGGATGAGTTTAATATATTAATCTTGAAATTTTTTTTCAATTAAAATATTATTTATCTGGCACACTAACATTTCTAAGTCATGTTCAAATATGTATGTTGTAATTTAGTCAACATTAATACTGTGGCGATTACGTATCATTCACACAAGATGAGGAAATTATATTAAAGTCACCACACTGGAAAAAGCAGGAATAGAACTCCAACTCCTAAACCTCATGGGCAATCTCTGGCTTTTGTAGTAGTGATGGGTGTATAAGAACTCATGTCCAACAAAAGTCAAGGTGATTATGCTTGTCCTTACACATGATTGACTAAATTTTTTTCTATTTTATTTTTAAAAACATACTGGTTAATATTATACAATGTTGCATTTTATTGTGGCATAGTCTTACATGCATATAAACTAATTTGTTCAGTTTCCCTTCCTTTCTTCTGCTTGTCTCCTTCCTGTACACTTGTACTTTCATGACATCCTTTTTGTTCTTTCCCCTGCTGTAGCTTGTACATATAAGAGAAAACATATGAACTCATCTTTTTGAGTCTAGATTATTTTGCTTAACATGATATTCTCCAAATGCATCCATCATTGACTAAATTTTAACTATTGTTAGTTTATGAAAAAAATATTATTGACATTCTTAAGCATAGATAATTGGATTGAAAACAAACATACCTTAGTTCAAATCTGCCACTTCGGCAAACAATACTTTTAATGACCTCTGAACTGTCTTCTCAAACTCATCTCCTTTGGTTTTGGTTCAAGTGTTTTCATTTTCTACCCATTCTCTATAGTCCTCTTCTTAGCTCACTAGTATTGATACAGTCATGCTTAAAGTGTGGTTCCTGGTCCTGCAGCATCTGCATTTCCTGGGAACTTGTTAGAACTACACATTTTTAGACCCACACCTTCCTAGTGGTGGAAGTTGGTGGAGTGAAGCCCAGCAGTTAGTGTGCTAACAAATTTTTTAGGCAATTAGTACAGAAGTGATTCTCTACTTTAATGAGCACTATTTCTTCTCTTTCCCAACTTCCCTCCATTATACTTTAGTTAATACCATGCCAGAACAACAACAATAACAACAAACACAAAAACCCCGTAACAGTCATCCTGTCTCTACTTAAGTTTTCTGTAGTTTGATTGCTTAATATAGGTAGAGATTCCTTTATATGCCATTAAAGCCATTTCTTTAATATAAGCATCAACTTCTCTTCATACATTTATTAAGTATTACATGGACTGATTTTTTTTCCTATACTTATTTTTGTTTAGTAATTTTTTTTTTGAATTCTGGGGATTGAATGCTCATGTTATGTGCTTAACATGAGCACATATTAGCACAAACATATCTACCACTGAGATACACCTTCAAACCTAGCAATTTTCTAAATTTAACATTTACAACATATTTTTTGGAATAAGATTGTTTACATTAAAATTACCATGTGGAAAGATAAAATCTACATGAAGCAGCAAAATTAAGAAACTGCTTAATTTTAATTAGACCATTAAACTGATACAAATGTTAGGGTGATAATCTAGTATGAATTGATTACCAAATCGGAAGTACTTGGGAGATAAGTAAATCAGCTGTCTTTTGATTTTCAATCACCAAAGTGAAATAGAATAGCCAGGCATGGTGGCACATGCTTGTAAACCCAGCCTCAGGAGGCTGAGGAAGGAGGATTGCAAGTTAGTCTCAGCAATTTAGTAAGCCCTTGTCTCAAAATAAGAGACTAAAGATGTTGCTCAGTGGCAAAGTGCTGTTGGGTTCAATCCTTGGTACCCTTTGTGAAAGAAGTGAAATAGAGATCAAGCATTTATAAACAACAATTTCGCACAGTGATCTTATGTTCGTTGAATAAAGGTTTGTGTTCTATTTATTTATTTATTTATTTTAACTGGCCAACACAAACAAAACAAAACAAAATTTTATTAACATTAAGCATATGAACAAACTGCTTATCCAGTATTTACTTTTCTTTCTAATTGTTTTCTTTATAGAGCTTTTGGTCGTATTTTTGAAAATTTTATAACTCAATTAATTTAATGGCATTTTCAAAGCATGCACTAGGACAGACTGGAAATTTTACAAATCCATCTTTGTCACAGGTTATTTGAGAAGCAGAGAATATTTTCTGGCACTAGACTGAGTTTGGCACCAGGATTGCTGTCATGGAGCTTGGGAAATCATTAAACCTTGTCTGATAAATGGGAAGAATAATATTACCCATCTCAGAGGGCTTTTGTAAAGTTAAAGAAGTTGATTTTTCCAGGGCAATTTGAAAAAAGAAGTTAATTTTTTATCAGTTGGAACAGGAGGCCCTACTGCACCAACACCTAGCAAAGAGGAGGGCAGCACATCCAGAGAACCCAGCACTGGATCAACGAGCCCAGGAAGTTCAAGTAAGTCAGGATGTGCACTGAGTCCTGATTATTGTGTACAAATATCAAAACAGTAGGCTTAGAAAATGCACAAGATTAAAATTTTATCTTTTTTATTGTTGGTTGTTCAAAACATTATAGTTCTTGATATATCATATTTCACACTTTGATTCAAGTGGGATATGAACTCCCATTTTTACCCCGTATACAGATTGCAGAATCACATCAGTTACACTTCCATTGATTTACATATTGTCATATAAAATTTTATCTTGACTGGAAGCAATCTCTTCCTTCAGAGGAACTAGCATATGTTGCAAGCACTGCTACTGTGTTTGTCAGGTACAATAGGACTGTCCCTGGGAACAACCTCAGAAGCAGTCAGAGGCAGCACACCTGGACCATCAGGCACAGGGGCCACCAGTGCTGGAAGCCCCGCAAGTAAGACAGAGCCTCCTTACTGGTTGTGCTAGGGTCCAATACCAACTTCAGCAGCTTCAGGGCATAATATTGAGTGAGATTAAGGAATGGTAATACAATGTCGTAGGACCTAATGACATGAATTAAACCACAAAATGTCCTGAAGGAATGTTTTCTTCATAACTATCCATATGTCTGAAGTACCATTCTTCTTCTTAGCAACGAGAGGAGGAACTGACACAGCCACCACTGTCTCTGCTGGTGAAAACACATCTGGAAGGACAGGTACTGA